ATTTTGTTCTCTACCTAATTTGGGCCAAAATGCTATGACCTCAACTTGTTTGGGCCATAGTGCAATTAACCTCAACTTTTGGGCTATTTTGCAAAAACTTAAACTTTTGGGGTCACTTTGTAAAAACACAAAAGTCCACTACTTCATGTAATTACAACTAGAACCCAAAATTTTCAACAAAAAATAAAACTTCATTAAAGGAGCAAAACAATTTGTCCTTTTAGTGATTTTGGACCTTTACGTAAAAACGTAAACTTTTGGGTCAAAATGCAAATACACAAAAGTATCAAAACTTTATATAATTGCATGAAAGCCCCACAAGGACCCTAATTGATTAGGGTGGCTGATTTTGAAGCAAAGTAATAAAAAAAAATTTCAAAGTTTTTGTAAGTGGGGTGTGTGTAATGGAATAAATCATTACACACCAAACCCACTATAATTTCTTTAATTTTTCAAAATAAATATCTAATATATTTAAACATAAGAAATATTTCAAAACAAAAACTTTATGAAATAAATCAAAACTTTGAATCAAAACACCAAACCTTTTGTTCTTGGCAAGAACATATCAAGAACAATGAAGAACATTCATGAAAACCCATAAGAGCTCCATGAACATTCTTCACCCAAAAACATACCAAAACCACTCAAACTTAAGGGAAATAACATACAACCATACTAGGGTACATAGGGGTTCCAAAAGTCACTTTAAAACAATTTTAACAAGTCAAACAAGAACCCAAAATTCCACCCTTTGGATTTGGCCGAATTTCCCAAAAAACATGGCACCAAATTTTAGCTCCAAAATTCATGCTCATATGAACTACATCTACAACATTTGAGATGGCAAATTTTCTAACAAAATTTACATTCAAAGAAGCAAGAATAAAGCTTGTAACAATTACAACATTCAAATCACAAACTATGAACTACAAAACCCAAAAGGATTCACCAACTACTAGACTTAGGCTCTTGATACCACTTGAAGGAAAATTTGTGAAAAACATGTTCATTTAAGCAACATCAATAGCATGCAATTAACAATTAAAGGCGGAATCATGCTTGTATGCACTTAAAACAAAACATTTACCCATGAAATTCAAAGCCTAGTAGATAGGTGAATCAAGACTCAACTCATAACAAAGTGAGTTGAGAAATCAATACCTTTGTAGATTCCTCTTTGCATAAGCAAAGGCTAATCACCCAAAGAGAGGGCCTTCATTCCTTGCATCTTGGATCCATGGATTTGGATGGATGAAAAGGTTTCTCCAAGTTCCCAAAATTGAGAACCTCTAAGTCTCCACACCAAGGTATATTGAAGAAGAAATGAGTGACCTAGAGGAAGTAAGATTGCTAGATTTTCCCCTCTAGATTGGCCAAAATTTTAGAGAGAAAGGAGAGCTTGTGTTCTCATCCTTTCCCCCAAAAATAACCCTTAGTAAATTTTAGGCTATAAAGTCCTTTATATAGTCCCTTCAAATAAGTGACCTAATGGACCAAAAGCCCTATTCTTTTACACATGGCTAGCCTATAGGTTTATTGGGCTTTCAAGCCCTTTGTTTTATTCAAGTTGTCATACAACTTGAGTTAATGGGCTTGACATTCAAATCCCATTGGGCCTTGCGGCCCAAAACTAACCCGAGGTCTTTAACGAACTTATTCGTTTGATTAATTAACATATTAATTAATCCTAGCCTTAGATAAATAATTAAACCATTTAATTATTCTTACTCATCTCCGTTGAATCTTCAAACTCTACCTTACACGGTGTACGATCCATTAGGTTCCTTTTAGCGAGGCAGTGGGCGATTCAAACTCTTTCAAATCGATTGTGAATTGAAACTTACTTTCAATTCTCCCGTTAGTGATAATACACTTTTAGGGCTTCCACAAACCATGAGTGACACCTAGCAGCATATCATGGTTACCCAAGCTAATCAGAAGAGGTGGAGAACCTATTCAGTTTAGGATTACAAATGCAATACGGTCTTTCTCTAATACAATACTCTTGACCACATTGTTTGGTTTGATAGTTTATTCATGTCTACTATCCAATGTGAATCTTGTGCTTATATGATTACCTTGAATGTGATCTGGAACGCATTCCAACATTTCATTCATACTCTGGCCAGAGATTCCAAATCATATCATAGAGTATTCTCCCTCAAACAGTTTGAAGGTTAGAGATCCCTTGTTGCGCATTCACTTGCCTCCATGGCTAAGTGGCTTAACCCCGACGATGCCGTGGACACCCTGATAGAGTGACTTTGACATAATCAAAGATTAAGGACCTAACCACAAGACAACTGTGATGCCTCAGGTCAAAAGACTAATTTGCATTATCCCAACCATGAGTTCTCATGTGACATGAATATGAGAACTCTTCGTTGATCGTGTTCAGTGAACTCATTCTCTATTGAGCACCTACGTACTTGTCTTGATGTCACACACACCAATGACTCGAGACTAGTCACTCTCCCTGAGAGAAGACATAGCACGTACTGATCTTAACGGACTGTCAATGCCCAATTGACAATCCTATGATCAGGAACGTTTAGGATGTGTCAACGAAAGAATGGTCTCATGAATCTAACTTCTTTAGATCGCATTCTTCCAATCACATATTCCTTGGACTTATCGTTTAAGCATATAACATTTATATGAGACGGCTCAAACAATAATGTTTGCCCTTTAAACTACATTAGTTTGAAATGTCCGTAAAGTATCATCATATGATTGGTTTTAGGGCACATTTCCAACAACATCAACTTGTATACGCACATTATTACATGTATAACCGGTAATGCGTATGATCCATAAGCAAAGTATAATCTATTGAGTCAAAGAATTAATTAAATCTATATTGAAAAAACTTGGAAAGGTGAAGTCTCGTAAGAAAATGATCTTCACACACCTATTTTCTCTTTGCACATCTTATTTGTCATTAGTTATTAGAGCAGCATCATCGGACAAAAAGAAGTAGGGTGTACAAAAGCAGAGTTGCACAAAACAACCATGTATATAAAGCTAACACCACCATGCAACTTCATCTTGCACGTAGAGCGAAATGTAGACATACAAACTATACAACGCTATGCATGACAACCACCTGGCTCCGAAGGAGTTAAGTTGTCGAAATATGGAACAATGAAGCAATCCAGCTAACTATGACTTAAATACGCATATTATTACATGTAGAGAAATGGTAAAAGGACTCTCTTAAAAGTGGGACTCTTCATAGATTCTCTGCCATCTCATGTTTTTGGTACAATGTTTTATAATGTTGGCATGAGAAACACGTTAAACTGTGAGGTCACATAAAATCTATAGAGAGTTTCACTTTTGAGAGAGCTCCTTTTAGCATTTCTTTTACATGTATAATCAGTTGCACATACGATCGATGGATGAAGTCTACGCTATTAAGTCAAAGAATTAATTAAAGTCCATAACGGAAAAAGTTTAGAAGGGCTAATTCTTATGGGAAATAATTTTCGCAAGCCTATTTTATTTTTAATTTTTTTACTATGCACCTTGTTTGTTTATAGCTACCAAAGGAGAATTAACAAACAAAAATCAATAGAGTGTGCAAAAAGAGAATTGACGCAACGATGTATATCAAGCCACTACCACCAATGGTCCAACTTCATATTGCACTTAGAAAGAAATGCAGACAAATGAACTGCAAAACTCGGCATGACAACCACTTGGCTCTGAAAAAATTAAGATGTCAAGATGTGGAGTAACGATGCTGTCCAGCTAATAGTGACTTAAATACGCATATATAATTGGCGACACGTATGAACCATGCGTGAAGGATAAGCTATTAAGTCAGAATCAGTTAAAATCAATAAATGCGAAAATGTGAAAAGGTTAATCTCTATTCGAAGTGATTTTTGTACATCCCTTTGTTTTTTTTTACACACACTATTAATTTTTAGTCATTAGATCGAACAAATTAGTCAAGAATTAAAGAGACCGAAGTAAAAGCATAGAAGGAAAAATTGGGTTTATGATAATTATTTCGGACTCAACTTAGTAGCAACAATAGCATAAGCTGCTAAGGTATATTTATGGGAGCATTTTTGCTTACCGCCCTAAACCTTCGTGTATGCTCATTACACAAAATCATCTACCACGTGTCCTTTCACTTAATTATGGTTACTTTTTTTTTTCAAAAATTGAAAAAGTAACATTTAATGTGAAAGTTAACTAGAGTTAGTTAAAAAGACATATGGCAAATGATTAGGTGTATCGTGAGCATACACTATAGGTAGGTTAGTGAACAAAAACAATGCTACTTTTACCTCATATTTATACCATAATTTGTACTATCTCTCTAATAGAGATGGAACCCACATGTGTTAGCGGACCCTACATCTATTAGAGAGATGGTAAAAATACATGGTATGTGTAACATTACTCGAGCAAAAATGCTCCCTATATTTATTACAAATACTACTCTTACTACATATTTGTACAATCTCTAATAGAGATAAGACCTACATGTGTTGGTGAACAATACTTCTATTAGAGAGATGATATAAATGATGGTACAAATATGCGGTAAGTGTAGTATCTCACACACCCCTTTTTAATTTATGTCAATTTAATTTTCTTCAGTTCAATCGACGTGGTGACTAAAAATTAAGAAGAGTGTGTGGGAGGTAAAAAGAGTGAGTGGAACACTACCCAATTTATAGCACACAACATCTAACCCCGAGTGGGGTAAGCAACTTAACCATGGATTAGAACTAGGGTTAAAAATACAAGTGGTTAAGAAGGACAACCACAAAACCCAGATTTTTATTATGGACAGTCATCACTGCTCATCATCATCATCATCCCTCTCTCAGCTAGCTAAACTCTCTCTCTCTATCCCCCAAAAAAAACTAACCATCTTTCTCACTCCTCCATATCTCCCCTCACCTTCTCAATATCCTCAGAGCTTCCATGGCAGCTCAGAGCTGTAATCTGCACAGAAATCTAACCCTAACGACTTAAAGCAGCTCCCTTTTAACTTTCTCTGTTTTTGCTTTTGATTTTCGTTCTCTGATTTTGGAGACCCCTAGATGTTTGAGCGATGGATATAACCCCTCCCATCACCACCACCACCAACACCGCCAGCACCAAATCCCCGGAAGCAGACAGCGAAACTCCGACACGGATCCAGCAACCCATAAACCCTCTGTCCTTCTGCAACGGCGTCCTCAAGCGTCACAACCCCACCCACCACCTCCACCACCACAACATCCCCATCACCCCTGTTGTAGTCACCTACAAAGAATGCCTCAAGAACCACGCCGCCACGCTGGGAGGCCACGCACTCGACGGCTGCGGCGAGTTTATGCCGTCTCCCACCGCCAACTCCGCCGACCCCACCTCTCTAAAATGCGCTGCATGTGGCTGCCACCGTAATTTTCACCGCCGGGACCCCGAGGACCCCGTGCAGCCAAATACCCCCGCCGCTACAACGCATGTGATCGAGTATCAGCCACACCACCGCCACCACCCTCCGCCGCCGACTCACCCAGGCAACCGCAGCCCCAACTCAGCTTCTCCGCCGCCGATCTCGTCCTCGTTCTACCCCTCCGCCCCCCACATGCTCCTGGCTCTGTCCACTGCTCACGAAAACGCCTTAGTGGGTGTGAATAACCACGCCGCCGTCATGCCCCCGATCATGTCGCCGAGCCCGAACGCAAGGAAGCGGTTCAGGACCAAGTTCACCCAGGACCAGAAAGATAAGATGCACCAATTCGCAGAGAGGGTCGGGTGGAAGATGCAGAAGAGAGACGAGGAAATCGTACAGGAGTTCTGCAATGAGGCCGGCGTCGAAAAAGGTGTTCTCAAAGTCTGGATGCACAACAACAAGAACACCTTCACCAAGCGAGACGTGCTAAATGGCGGCGGTGCTGGTGGTGGTCTAGGTAGACCCAACTTTCTACTGCAGCAGACCCACCACCACAATGGCACCAACGGCAACGGAAACGGAAACAACAACGATGACGAGGACGAGGACGATGATGATGATCAAAACGACAACGACGACAACAAAAACGGAGTTCCGAATCCGAATCATCATTACCAGGGTGCTGACGGTGGTGCCAACAATGGATCGTCGTCGTCTTCTTGATCCTTTTGATGAATAATAAGAGGAGCTTAATTAGCATTAGAGTAAGGCCAGTGCTATTAATTAGTTGCTCTTAATTTTCTTTCTTTCTTAATTTTTCTTTCTCATCGTGTTTAGTTTAATTAATGAGACTATCAATACTTCAGTTTGCTGAGGATAACCTGGGAACAGATTGATTGGTCCAAAAAAAAGGGAATTAATTTGCTGCCCATATCTTCCCTAATTTATTTATTTTAATTTTTTTCCATTTTCCCAATTTTTGGTATTAGAAGGGCAGTGATATGCATTTTTTCTTTTTGCTTAAAGTATCTGTTTATTTCTTACATTTGTATTAAATAAATTTATTGCATTTACACTAAATATGTTTACCAACAGAAGTCAAGAAAAAAACAGAAATAAATCGTAGTGGGCAGAAAAAACAAGAGTGCGAAAATTATTATTTTTTTTTTTTGTTGTTGTGAAGCTATGTGAAGCTTGAAATGTGTTCAATTATTCGTTACTAAAACAAAGAAGCATATTAATATATCAGAAACTGGATTTTATTAATGTTCTGTTCTGAGAATAAGCTGCAGAAATGCAGGGTGCTCTTTTCTCTTTTTCAGAAGGGGGAGGGGAGAGAGAGAGAGAGAGAGAGAGAGGCATTGTAATTTGTGAATCTAATGTCTCATCAGGGAGAGATTTTCTTGGACGATGATTATCTTTCCTTCTTTTTTTTCATCTTATTTTTTTCCTTTTCTTATATTTTTTTAATTTATCTTTTTCTTTTTATATAAATTAATAAAAAATATTTACATGAATTAATCATGACTGTTCAAATAGGAAGGAAGAGAAGGAAGAGAAGGAGTGGAGAGGGGAAAAAAAAAGAGAGAAAGAGAATCTGCTCCGAGAGAGAGAGAGAGAGAGAGAGAGAGAGGCATTGTAATTTGTGAATCTAATGTCTCTTCAGGGAGAGATTTTCTTATCCTGTGTCTGATACAAAGAAGCAGAAAGTGTTAAGCGCAAAACATAAGATCATTTCATTGGGAGCGGTTGCAAAAAAAAATTATGCTAGATTATCCCTTTAGCTTTAAGCATTTTCTTTACTTTTAATTATACTAGCAAATTGCACGCACTTCTACAACTACAAATTTGCTTGAGAGAAGTTAGAATAAATTTATTGTTTTTATTTATTTTTTAAATTTTAAATAAGACCTGTTACATGTCCGCGAGAGTGGCGTAGAAAACAGCAAAATTTATGCTGCATATAATTACTAAGTTGCTCGTATAATTTTGTTTTTGTTTAATTTTGATGAAAAGGTTAGAGTGGTAAAAAAAAAGAAGAAGAGAAATGTTAAGGGTTCTCTGTTACCTCACAGTTTAACGTTAATTTATATGTTAAAAAGATAGCAAAAAGACCATGGAGAGTTCCTAAGAGAGTTTCTTTAGCATTTCTTTTAGTAGTATAGATAATAATTCTGGCAAAAAAAATTTAGGATAGTGTTATTCACACATTCATTTTTATCTTTTATGCATACTTTTCAATTTTTTAATTTTTGGCTGGTATCAAATGAATTAAAGATGATCAAACGACAGAAATTGAAAGAAAGTATATTATAAGTAAAAAAAAATGTCTGGATAACAACACCCAAAAGATTATATAAAATAGACTAGAGAATGATCCGAGAGATATCTCAAGAAATCAAAATTTTATATTAATACTCACATCCCTATTATTGGCTTAGATTTTTAGTCAATTAATTAATTAATAATTGTGGTATGGACCGTCTTGCTGCTGGATCATATATTAATATGCCTCTAAATTAAGAAATCGCTAGCAAGCCATCATGGCTTTAATTATTTATTCCTTCTAAATGTGTGCAAGCAGAAGAAAATCAAGGCAATACATAGAACAATGGACAGAGATCCACTTTGGATCTCACTACCTGAAGTTCAAGATCAGGCACTTCAAACCACTCAAATTGAATTTGACAGTTTTCATCAACTTATTTCATTGGCTTACCTCACATAATGCTCTGATTTTTTTTTTTTTTTTTTACACAAACTAAGAGCTGAATTTTTCTGTTCTTTAGGCTCCATACATTAAGATCCGGAGAGGATACACATCCGTACAATGGCTGCAAATTGTGACCTTTTTGGTGGTGGGGTTTGGATGGTAGGCTTCAGTTGGGGATTACTTTATGATTTTTAGCCTTAACTATTCCAAAAGTGTTCATTAATCAATTAGTTTAATCTAAGTTGGTAAGCTTGAAGGTGTGCTAATTGTTTTGTCCCTTGCCTTTTAAGGGAAGCAGATATATTAGTGCTAACCCTAATTAGGTTGGAATAAATTATCCGATTAGATGGATAAGAATGATGTGATGATGACTCTAAGTGGAAAATGGTACTTATAACAATCAAGTGTCTTTTCCAACAGAAAAATGTGAAAAGATTTTCTAGTGTGTTTGGAACATGGCTTAGTGCATCAAGTGACATAATACAAGTGGTTCGATATTTAAAAAAAAAAATTCTAATCACTTGTATTATGACATTTATGTATCGAATTGTATTTCTAACACATTGAAATTTTTTTTTTTCTAAACGCAAGTTTGTTTTGTTTTGTCATTTGATGAAGTCGGTTTTCTTGTTTTCGTGGGGGCGGATCCTTTGACTGCATATGACCTTCCAGGCTCCAACTGCCAAGTATGGGTAGCTCATACTCGGTCAATTACCCTCTAAAGCGTTTTAGTGGGGAAATGGGATGGGGCTACTTTAACCTTTCATATAAGAAAAATGTTAACACAAATCGAGCATGCTGGTCGAACTTACTATTTGTCTATGGGAAATACCAACTCTAGTCACACATGCTGGTTGACCTAACCGTCTCGTGTCGGTCGATCTATTGGCTTTTTTTTTTTTTTTTTTGTCAAAATAAGGATAATATTAAATACGAATCGAAATGTTTACATCAGTAGTCAAAGTGTTAAACAATCATTCTAGTTCTAACCTATCCACAAATGACTACCCCCCATACGAGTGACATAAGAAGTCACAAGATGCGCAGCCTCATTACAGGCACGAGAAGCATATGGAAATTGAACATAATAAAATTGTAGCTTAATGTGATTAATTTCTCATAAAATACCATCTATGACAGCCTCCAGTTGCAAGATCCCCATTGATCATATCAACTAGGACCTTAGAATCCGTTTCAACCTGAACCACCCCAAATCCTCTTTCCACACAAGCCACCAAAGCCGCTCTTGGTGCCTCAGCTTCCGCCATGACACTGGATACACATCGAACATTCCCCACACCTCCAGCACCTTGAAAGATCCCCGCAAAATCCCTCACCACCCATCCAAACCCACCCACCCCCGTACTGCTACACCAAGCACCCTCGCAATTCACTTTGAAGGTCCCAAATGGGGGTTTCCTCCATCCTACATGACACACCTTGCTCACAGTATTCCCCCGAGTCTCTGGAAAATGCTGACACGAGTCGTGCATGCCGGTCATCTGGCCAGTCTCTTTTACAAAATGCTGATACGAGTCGAGCATGCCGTTTGATCTGACCGTCAATCCTTCTTTGTGAGTTCCACAATAAATAATCCATAACAGTTATGCCCGTGCATTATTGACTCTGCACTTCTTCTTGTAACGCAACGCAATACTAGACTTGACTATTTATCCCTAGTTAAAAGATGTAAACGTTGGTTTTCAAAAAAATTAGTGGAACATGAGGATCTATAATTTTTGTTAAATGAAATACTATATAGGATTAGTAACCGTTCTTGCTTTGTAGGTCTCAAAAGTGTGAACAGTCATAATCAGCTCTCACACGTGTATACGCAATTAATCGTAAATTGGTATTTAGGTTCTAGACTTGCTTATCTATACATCGCTAGTTAAAATATAATATTTTTTTGGAGGGAAATGTTAAGAAGGCTTTCTCAAAAGTGGGATTCTCCATAGACGTTATAAAACATTGTGTCGAATTTTTTGCTACAATTTCTCTGCCAATATTATAAAATATTGTGCTGAAAATATGAGGTGGCAAAAAATCTCCTTAGCATTTCTCTATTTCGAAAGTCGGTTTGTGAAAATGTTTAAGTTCAAACTCAATATTTCCATGGAAAGATGGACATCTTCCAAATAAAAGATGCATTGTGGAGAAGCATCAAGCATATACTTAATAAAAGATGCATTGTATTTCTAAATATTGTTTTTGAGGGGTTAGGTTTTATATGTCCCCCCTTCTTATAATTGTATTTTCATTCAAGAGGGTCAAGTTTATGCCCTCATTTTACTTGTATTTTTGAATTTTGTTTTTCTTTATTATGTGAGATAAGATTTATGCCTTTTTAATTAGACGTAATTTTTTTTGTTTAATAAAATTTCACTTCGTACCATCGAAGTTTTTAATTGAATTGCTTATTAATAGGAACGTTTCGGCCGCTGGCCGTTTGCTGTCCCAAATTTATGTCTCCTTTCTAATTTTTTACACCTCACTCAACTTCAACTCCAAATCTAACATTTTCAAAATTTTATATTATTAATTTAAAACTGTATATTTAACCAAAGAAAAAAGAAACTCAACTACAACGTTCCAAACGCACTCCCAACACCCAATCCCACCCCCACTCCCCCAACCATCCCCTCCCAAACACACCCCCCCCCCCCCTCCCTCCTTTTCCGCTCTTTCGATTTCTCCCGTATCAAATTTTCAGGTATTGTTTCCTCCCTTTTGATTTGTCCCTTTCCTTCTCCCGTATCAAATTTTCACGTATTGTTTCCTCTCTTTTGATTTGTCACCTCTAGCTCCAAGGTTACTGCATGTACTTGTACATTTGCAATGTAAATGGACAATACTTATACAGTAGCTTATGTCGATTTACCGTAAACTCTTTACTCATGCACTCTTAAACGTTGTGTCAAAGTTTGTACGATAAGATTCCTCCATCACTACTGGATTGAGCTGTGACTTGTGAAATAAAAGTGTTACTATCAAATGGAGTGGTGGGGATCATATGGATGGATTATTCCTAGTCAAAGAAGCATATTTTTTTTTTTTTTTTTTACACTTTGGATCAGAGTCATCATGCAATGTTTCATCCCTTTTAAATATAGGGTTTCCCTCAATTGCCAGTCCAATAAAACGTGAATAGGACACTGTTCTACTGGTTTGCCCAAATTTGTGTCAATAGATGATGCTCCGTGTGTTGTAATAATAAA